ACTGAAGTCTTTTTCTATGTTTTCGATACATTGATGATGCTAATCGTTATGGTTATGTATAATATTTGGCATCCATCGAGAATTTTGAACCCTAACTCTATGCTCTCAGTCAATTCTGACCAAAAGGGAGCAAATCCTTCTGCGGCACTTGAGGAACATACTCAAGATCATGATTTTGAAGAGCAAAAAACTATTGCTATACACAGCCTCACTACAAAGTTCTAACACGGTTAGTTGTGGAGTGAAGTCAGCAAAATTGTTTTTATCTACTTGTGCAACGGGAGTGACAGTTTGAAATAGAGAAAAAACGTTAGACAGTTGATTGAAACCAATTTCGTGGCATTCCAGAAAAAGATAAAAATAAGCTACCTCGCATTACATCACTAACAAGGGATCATTGCGAAGTGTATTCCTCCGATTTCAATGAACTTTCCCCGGCAGATAGTGTGTAGTGCTAATAAAAATTCTTAAAGGATGTGGTTGTTTGTTGCTGCCTTCAAAAGTTATAACGGTTTTTCTGTTTTTCGCTCGCGAAACATGCAAAAACTAGAAAATTCATATACAAACCAAGTTAAAAATTGATAGTAAAGTACTCAATTTTTTCTTAGTTTCTTCTATTTAACTTTGATATCCATAAAAAAGCTATTCATGAAGATTAGAGCGTCCTCTATCCGATGTACTTTTTCTGAAAAAACACTGTCGACGTCTGATTTTCAAATGTGATTGTGATCGATTCCTATTTTATATTTCAAATAAGAACTTTGCCGCTAAACTTCCATTTTTTTGCAAATCTAATAATATATTTAGAATCAGCGTCAAAAACTGATAGAGTTGCCATAAATCAGTCATCATAAACCTAACTGATTTTTTATCAGAAGTCCTCAGTCGAAAACTTCGAAAAAATCAAAGTTGTCCAAAACGCCTGAAACCCATATGTACTATCATACACGAATGTGTGACATTATCAATTGAACGGAGTCTGACAAGTGTGATTTTTTTCACCTTGAGTTTCTATTCGAGTGTAGTTCCAATTGAAGTTCGCACTGATAGGTATTCAAAACAGAATTGGTTGTGTATTTTAAAACGATTCGTTGAAGTGAGCCATAAAGTCAGTAGTTGATTGAGTTATAACATCCTTGTTTTCAATTTCACGTTTTGTAACCATCATAGTTTTGTTACTACTCTTGAACATATATCATGCGGATGTATGAAGTCGAAAAGCCATTTATCATTAGCAACAAAAACTCTCAAATATAATTTCTGTCGTATAATCGTTTTCTACTAATTCACTAATCGCTTCAAATCAAGAGTTTTTCAAGAAAAAAAAAAGAAAGAAGAACCTTCCATTTTCTCATCTCTTTATATACTCGATCGTTCTCTCACCTTTTCCTTTCAGTTGCGTTTGAAAGAGTGACTGATGTAAGATCGAAATACCACAAAAAATACAACATAATATGGAGCTAGATCATGTAAACTGCACTAATCACACTAGGTGCGATAGAAATAAGTGGTTGTTTATTCATTAATGAAGTCTATACTTTCTTTCACAACAAATGCAAACTTCAGCTTTCAGGAACTTATTAATATTAGCATAAACGGTCTGAATGAATGTTTGGCTCCATCCTATAAGTGTAGCATTTGGAAATAACAATTTTATATCATTATCATTTGAGTCATCGTGTTCGTATGAACGTCCGTCAATATAGACATGTCTGATAGGATTACATATTGATTGTAATTCTTGAAAAGCATTTGGTTTATTTTGTGATTCTCTTATTACATCTAACAATAAGCGCTGTAGTAGAATTAATCTTAGAATGTTTGGTGTCATTAATAATAATTATTTGAAATATTTATATTCCAATTGATGAAGAAACAACCACATGGAAACGATGTTATTCAATATCAATTCATTATTCATTAGATTATCACTGAAAAAACGAACAGAAGCTGCAATAAATGATAGTTCTCTTGCTTTTAAACATGATTTTTGAATAATTTGGAATAATTCTAATGTAAACGGAACTCCATCATAGAAAGTAATGTCTTTTGCTTTGTTACTGTATAACGAAATGTCATCATTATTGACATTTGATCGATAGTTAACGAGATCATTTGTAACACCCGACAATCTCTCGAACATATAGGATAATGAAAATACACAATAGTATTGATCACGTAGCGGTTGATTAAAACATAAAATCGAATGATGATTATTAATCCAATAAGACGATTTGTATGTCTGAATATAATCGTCTATGTTCAATGTGTTATGAAGAACTGGAATACGAAAACAAAAATGAAATACTTTCAATCTTGTTAGTTTTAATAATAACTTTTTTTCTAAACGTTCACCATCAAAAAATTCAAGACTACATCAATTCAATGATAAGCATTCTAGATTAGCGCAACAATGAGATAATAGCAATTCTAAATAATCATAATTAGCACTAAAAACAGAGGAGAATACAAAATGTTTTAATTTTGATAATGTCGAAGGAATATTTTTATCCAATCATAATTAAATTGGACGTCATTTTGTTCTTGGTGCTGTCGTCTTGGTTTAATCTGCGGTATATGAATATTTACATATTCGATGGAAGGTAAATTATTTAACAGAACATATACATTACGGAGAGAATGCAATTTTACTGTCAAGTTTCTAATAGAAAAACATAATTGAATGATATGAGTATTAATAGATAAGTAAACCTTATCAAAAATTAATGTATGTAGTCGACAATCAGATTGAAATAGAGTTGAACACAACTCATTTTATACAGTTTCCTTATATTCTCGTATATAAAAATAAATTTTTAAATTTAATAATTGTTTAAATAATTTTAAATATGATAAATATTTTCCCTCCATTTTAACTTTCGTTATAAAAACTGATTTAAGATTCGGATATATTTTTGAATATAACCATAATGGAAAAACGATATCAACATTTTTATCATCAACTTTAATTGCTTTGATATGATGATGAATTTTAGGTAAAATTGTTCGATAATATTTGTGCAACAAACACTCATCGATATCGGCTAAATCTATTGCACATAAAAACGGATAAATAAGATCGTTAAAACGATCATTTAAATTGAAAAATGAATAAATAATATCGACAGAGTTTAAATAGAGAAAAATAAAGTCGTACAATTCATTTGGTAGACTTGATTCTAATGTTGATATTTCCCAGAACAAGAATATCCTGGATTAAAAGTAATCTCTCTGCAAAAAATTGGGAAAACGAAGTAGATCATCTTGATAACTCATAAACTCGCTGCGCGTATGATATCAAATGACTATAGATCCGACAGCTCCTCTTTGATCACGAACTTAAAACTACCACACCTTGCTCAAAGAAGAAAATTTTTCAGGTTAATCTTCTTTCACAAAATTATTACAGAACGTAGTGCACTTTCGCGCTGTTCGTTAGTACAGCCTTTTACAACTAGAACTTCTTTGCGAACCTCTAATCGATGTCTCTGGCAGGTTCCCTTGTTAAAACGTAAAACTACTAGATCTTCATTTTTACCAAAACT